TTGTTTATTGTTGTGGCCATAAATTTACATGATATTTTCGACATGATTGAAGTGCATTCTCTTGGATGTGATATTAAAATTTAGTTTTTTGCTGTGTACTGCTTCGATGACCTGTCAAATCATGCCTCAAATGGGAGGAGCAAACATGTTACACTCAAATTGGTATGAAGTTATATGCTACGTGATATTGTATGAAACACTTGAGCAAAAAATCTAACTTGTGTTGTGTTTTTTGAATGAGAGTTCCATAAAACATTATGTATCTTAAAACTTTGGTGCAACAATTGTTTCGAAATGTTACTAAAAAGTTGACAAACCAATCTTGTTCCAATTAAGCGTATATGAATCTATAAGTTTTCAAACTTTGTTTTGCAACCAACTGAATCAAGTTGTCACTGTAAAGGTTTGTTGTAACCATCTAGTATCTACCATGGCTCAAATATGTCTTGTCACTTTGCTGTTGTGAAATATTTTTGGACAACATTGGCAAAAGCGGAGAAATCGGATTACGATAGGATTACGGATGGCGGGGGACGATGGTGACTGAAGACGATGCCAACAGCGGCTGGCGTGACCGTAGTCTATCAACCAGCCGGGTGTTCCAAAGGGCTAAATTGAACGGTGAGAAGCCTGAGGTGACAATGGATTGGTTGTTGCATGAGCTGGGGGCAGCAAATATGTTGATACCACCGAACGGAGATGTGGCCAGATACAGAGCTCGTATTTGCCGGAACTGCTGGTGAACTGGAAATGGCACCAAATAGCGGGTGGATTCCCAGCTACTGACAAGTGACGTTTATATCAGCGCAGGTGGTTTATTGGTAAGCGTGATTACCTCTCACCCCAGCAGGCCTGAGTTCAATCCCTGTCGGCGCCTCCGGGATGTTCAAACTACGCATTTGCTACTTATTTTCAACATAACTGGAACATGGATACCATCGATAATACGTAATGGTGCAGTTATGTTGACAAATCGTTGCGGTGTTGTTGCAGTTCAATATGAATCATTAATTTTAATATCCACTCATCTGCAACGTAAAAAATACTTGTTGTAAACTTTTCATAATGTCTTTAAAAATAGCTACATTATTGTGACGTACTATTTAACATGTTTGCAACATCTCAGTGAGCTGGATTATATCTGGATGAACCCTACACTACCGGCCGAAATTATGTTGCTATAATGGAGAATGTTAATGGTTATGAGAGGGCGTTTTGATGTGTTATCGGTGTAGGACATTAAAGAACTATATTAAGTTCTCCATTTTGGTTGACTCTATTTTCTTATGGTGTAATGTTGTTCAGGTAAAGGCTTTGATTTGTATTTTGTCAAAATTTCGATAGAAATCTTTGCTTTATAATTATAAGCAATTTTTTAAAAGATCAGTGAATGATGACTAGATGATTATGAAAAGAAGTCTAACGGTTTGCGTAATCGACGTAGTGAAATCGCTTTAATTCTCGCCCAATAAACTGGGTGTTTGAATCCTTAGGGTTTGAAGTATGAACTGTAAGCGTTGAAATATCGATCCCATTCACTAATTATTGGATAGTAATATTATGAAAGTTCAAGGAGTCAAAAAGCAAGGAGTTATGTATTGACCAGAAATGGATGATACGCAGCAGCTAGCTGGTATATTTATTTGGAGTTAAATTTTTGTTTCTTGTTTCCGGGAGTCATACGAGTCCCACCTCTGATCTCCAACGACCGTATTCGGAATCCGTAACCGCTCAAGTTTACTCATTTTTTTTAGAGAATATTGATTGGTAAATACATTTTTTTCAGACATCATCGTACCAAGATGGACTCAAAAGCCGCAGAAAATCAACCTTTCGGTTTGGTTGGGAGTCCAACTTTCTTCGATAAGATCGAAAGCGTATTGCTAATGAATGCTAATGCATGCTAATTTTCTATGAAATCTTTGGAAAAAAAATGATTTTCTTGGATTATTTATATCTTTTCCAATATTTGGGGTTATCCATAAATTTCGTAACGGAATGGGGGGGTTGATATTTTCATTCATAAAATTTAGTACGTGAAAAACATAATTTTATCTTAAGCGAATCAATGCCAAAACACGTCCAAATACATTAAATGCGCAGATGCATGTAAAAATTTACCCAAATCAATATCTAACGATCTTCTGAATTTTAAAATCTTAGAAAGACCTTTGGGGGAAGGGTTGCGAACTGCAAATTTTACAGAGTCTTACAAGGACGGGAGGGGGATTTAATGATCATTCAAAAACCTTTACACAGCTTGTGGATGGCTTCTTATTAGAAAAAACAAAATGCATCGAAAAAAAAATCGAACCGGTAAACTTTCGTTTGATTATCAAACCCCCCAATGTCAAAAATTTACACTATTTCAGTTCATAATATTTTCAGAATCAGAATCAGAAATACTGAAATTCTCATCAAAACTTGAGAAGTTTGCGGTTCTATTGCAATGGATAGATAAAAATATTCTGTTAAAAAATGACGAAATTATGAAAGTTTTAGCATTTTTCAGTAATGTTAAAGCCATTTATTCCAATAAGTTTACAGGCATTTTCAATTTGTTTTTATTTCATTTATTTATTAACTTATTTATTGATTGATTTTTGAAATTGATTAAAATCTATACCATTTACTTTATTTATTTAAAAAAAATATGTTAAGCTTAAATATATGCATAAAATACTCCTTCAAATTAGTTTTTAAGCATTTTTGCGTTCAATAAACTTTCTGTCAGCTAAAAAATTAAAATTAATAGGATCTATTTTTTTATAATCATCATTGTGAATGATTGACCTAAATATGCCCTCAACAGGATTAAAAATATATTTCAGAACACTGCGAAGTCATAGAACATAAGTCCTAATGTTAATATGTAGTCTACGATTTGATTGATTGACGAATAAATAAATAAATAAATATCGGTACTGCATAAAAAACGCTTATTTGGATTAAAAAAGCTAATCACTTACTATCCCTTGATTGATTGTTACATGTAAAGTATTTATTTTAAATTAACTATGCTGTTTAGAATTTAGGTTTGCGACTACGGGTCGGACACTTCTTGAAATAGGGGTCTGGTAGGAGTGTTTTAGTTGCCCACTGATGTTACGGGGTTTGGCATCTACCAGCTTGTCAGAATATCTTGTCGGTGATTGGCTCACAACAGAGCGCTGCCTTGCCTTAGAGAGCCGAAAAAGTGCCTGGGTACATTATGTAGAGTGACCACTGACCATTGATTATTACTTTTTTTAAGCAAAATTTTGAGTTTTAAGAACTCATCATCATGCTAATTTAATTCGGTTAGAATGAAATAAAAAAAATAATCACATTCGCAAACACAACCGCATATACAAATAAATATGGTTGTACTGAACATGTTGACCCGCAATGTACACAATTAGAATGCTGTTGGTAAGACTGGCAGCCACCAGAATTAAACATAATAAACTTATTTTTCAATTAATTCATGTTTCACACCCTATTAACATAAAAACGTGAAATAATTTTTACAGCTGTAATGTTTTCCATTAGTTTGAATATATATATTTAATTTTAGAGATTAATTTTTAATTTTATTTCGACATATTTTTAAGCTGCGAATTTGTGGCATAAATTTGTAAGTTTTTGAAGGCGTATATATTAAATCGAAGCAAAATGTGTAATTTCACCATAAAACTAGATGCGTTTGAAAAAAAAAAACGGACAAGTTATCAATATTTTAAAGTAATTAATTTCATACTTTTATTCAAATGACTTTTTCTACGATTGTCATCTCTGATTTTGCAATCTAAATAAAAACATCAGTATGCTTTTTCCGCATCACCTCACAAAAATAAATATACATTTATGTACTTAACTTGAATGTCATTTACATGTATTCGAAAACATCACAGTACTGTTTTAAATATTTCAGTGAGACATTGCAGTTACGTCAGTTAAAACCTCATTTACAACTTGTGTCATTCATATATCATGTTATATGCACCTTATTTGCAACACTTTATGCCACAAACATAAGTTGCAAAGAGACTCCACCTTCTGCGCTTTTTAAGGTACAATGAAGTTTTATATACGGTGCGTTGTCCATAATCTAGACCGGCTATTAGTCACACTAAGGTTGCTGATACTCGCTGAGAAACAAATGGTGTTGCTTGGGCTGCTTCGGTCAACGATATCTTGCTAATCTAAATGCTTTTAGGCATGCCTTACGAACCTTCTTCCACCGGAACGCAATAAAATTCACAACGACGATGTTCGCTATCAAACTCAATCCCGATAGAGACTGAGTGTAGAATATTACATGATTTATCACTTAGACACACATGCATAAAACCCTTCATTCGCGAAGTTCTCAAAAAATCAAAAAAGTGCATTTTGGTAAAGTTCGAGTGCTCGAAAGATGTAATCCATTGTAAGGCGCTGGATAATTTAACATCTCATATAATTAGTGAACGCTAAGTTGCAAGGTGTTGTGCTTCTATGTGAATTAATAAATTCTGCAATTTGATTCATAGTAAACTCGTTTACTGCAAGCTAAGCCCCCAACTCGATATGATCCCCATTTTTTACTTACGAGAATGAAACGACGTTCAACCGCCACTATAGTGATCTCTTTCGGTTATGTTTATCTATTGCAAAGAGTAAAATCTGCTCCATTCATGAATGGTGAGCTAAGAGTCACCCTGATGAGGTAAAAGATTGAGTACCACTACTCACCTTATTTGCAAAACTCACTCTTTTCTTTTATGTTTACTCGCACTTTATGCCGCTCTTGTTTCATGCTCCACAGGCGCAGTGAAAACTCGCAGATGCTCTAAGAGAGAACGGAGAGAGAGAGAGAGAGAGTCGCACGTAGCGCTCGAGAGAACAAACACCCCCTTGTGTTATGCTACCAACCCCTACTTCACTTCATCCTGATATCGCCGTGGTCGTCGCCGTCGCGGTAGAGGCTATGCTGAGATTTTTTCCTTTCTCGCGGCTCAGTTCCGACGGTGCATCGATAGTGGGAAGTGCTCTCTCCCCGGGAAATCTCGTATCGCGCACGGCAGATTTCTTTCTGTGCTAGGGTGCCATTCGCGTTCGTTCCGATCCGTTCGCTTGAGGAAGCTGTGGAGTGAGGGAAAAGTAAGGAAAGCAAAAAAGGGATAATTTGGCTCGCGACCGACGTGCGTTTTCGAGGAAGGATCACCGTTACGGTGGTTGAGTTTGGGAGTTTTTTTTTTCATCTGTTTTTGTAACCCGTGCTTGGTGCGGTCAGTTGGCTTTGGGGGTTGAGTGTGACCGGTAGCAAATGCAAGAAAAAAGTGAGTCTTGGGACACATTCGGAGAAACGAGCTCGTGAGAAACGAGCGAAAAAGTGATTAGGGGGTGCCAAGTGATTATGTGTTTTGCTCCTTTCCTCGAACGCGCGGAGTGGACTTAATTTGATTTATAAAAGAAAGATTTCGACTGTCCCATTCATCGGCAGTGGGAGTCGAGGGAGATTGGGATTAGAGAAAAGGCATTCGCAGCAGCGGCAGAGTGAAAGAAGAGGCTGCGCTGGGTGTGGAACCGACGATTTATGTATTTATAGCGTAATTCTCGCTTGTTTTCTTTTCCTGTGACCGATTCGGCCAAATTGTTGTTTAGATTTGTTCTTTTTCCTCCTAACGAGAGGGAAGGAGTGCCGTGCCCCTTGTGTATAATTTCATTAAGTGTTTTTTTTTTCGTCGTCTCGTTCTGGTTTTATAATTAGAAGTCACTGAGGACTTCTTTTCCTAGCATTTTTATTTATTTTTAATTACCCTTATGTAAACAGAGTTGTATTTTTGGATGTTTGACAAACCTGAAAACGAGAGGCGCAGCAGCATGTTGCGCCAGCAGTTCTAAGAGAAAGTGAAGTGCAGTGTGCCATAAAGAGTCATAAAAAAAGCATAGCGGAAAAGCCCTGTAGAAGAGTTTAACAAACATCGTTACCCTCGTACGCCATAAAAATGTTCTTCAGAAAGTAAATTGATTCAACTTCCGAGAAAAAAAAACCCGTCAGAAGAAAAGTAACAATGAAGCCTTATCTAACGATCCTGCTTTTGAGTCTGTTTCTCGTGGAAATCTTTGGACATCGCTCATACCTGAGAAGTTTTCAAACTCCAAGTGCTATCGATCCATGTTACGACGAAGATCGTCCACGGCGATGTATGCCAGACTTTGTGAACGCCGCGTTTGGGGTTCCAATTGAAGCATCCTCCATTTGTGGCAAGGACAAGCCTGCTCGTTACTGCGACTACAAGGATCAGCATACACGAAATGAATCAGTTTGTGACATTTGCGATGAGTCTGATCCAACCAAACGGTTCTCGGCTCTTGCGCTGACAGACGTTCACAATTCGAACAACGTAACATGTTGGCGTTCAGAACCTCGTGTTGGCTCTGTGGATCCAGGGTCTCCCCCGGATAATGTTACTTTGACCTTATCCCTCGGCAAGAAATTCGAGCTAACCTACGTCAGTCTAATGTTTTGTCCGTACGCCATTCGTCCTGATTCTATGGCCATCTTTAAAAGCGCTGACTATGGAAAAACTTGGCAACCGTTCCAATTCTACAGTTCTCAGTGCCGAAAACTTTATGGACGCCCAACACGTGCCACCATACAGAAAACCAATGAGCAAGAAGCGCGTTGCGTTGATCATAACCGCTACAACGCTGATGGCATCCAAGGTTCCCGCATCGCTTTCAGTACCCTGGAAGGTCGTCCGTCCGCTCAGGACTTCGACTCATCTCCAGTTCTGCAAGACTGGGTCACTGCCACCGATATCCGCGTAGTATTCCATCGTCTTCAACCACCAACGACTACAACTATCTTAAAGACTCAATCGTCCGAGCAGATCAAATACAAAAAGAGTGAGTACATCTCTAAAGAGATTTTCACTCCACCCTCGGCTGGCGTATCAACCTACGCCTTGTCGGATTTTGCCGTCGGTGGACGGTGCAAGTGTAATGGACACGCATCCAAGTGCATCAAAGGAGTGGACGGGAAGTTGGAGTGTGACTGTAAGCATAACACAGCCGGACGTGATTGCGAGCGCTGTAAGCCGTTCTACTTTGACCGCCCGTGGGGACGCGGCACCGTGCGGGATGCGAATGAATGTAAAGGTGAGTGCTATAGAACGGTAACGATATGTTATTTGGGTGGTAGATGGTGCAATTGAGATTCGTAGACTCTCATAGGCCAAACCGAGCATGAACGCGTCGTTTTCGAAAGGGATTTGATCCAATTATTCAAATTGTTCCTTTCCGGATGCTTTTGATCTAGTCGTTGGTTAGTGCTTGACTGAGAGAGAGAAAGAGATAGGGAGTAGTCTTGGTTTCAATCAGTCAGTTTAGATAGTAGCAAAAAATGTACGTGGATGTGTTTAATCGTTTTAACATTGATATTTTGCAAACATAGTGTAACAGGCCTGTCTAACGTACTTTTCTACACAGTTCGAAAAAATAGTGTAAATTTCTGTTACTATGATGCACATAAATGGAGCATCATATATCACACAAGTTCACATTGTAGTTCGTGTAAATATTCAATATCAACACTGAGCATGCATAAGGGCGTAAACTCGATGATCGATTCTCTTCGTTGATTTTCTCTTTAGTTAATAACTCGCTAGAATTAACGTTTCTCGATGAGTGTTACAACTCTGCATTGAACAAATTCTGGAAAAATGTTTCGCTTAGCTGTAGCAATGCAAAGAGAAAATCGACGAAAAGAATCGATCATCGCGTTTACGCCCTTATGCATGCTCACTGTCGAATATATTGTATGCAACCGTCCATCTTTGTGAGCAACATTCCTTGCTAGTTACTATTTACGTGAAAAGGAAGTTTACATGCATTAATGTTTGCATGCATGGATCTTTACATTACCAGTAGAATTCATATTTTTTTCTGTGTACCTTTTTGCACAACAGTCACAAAGATGGTATAGCAGCGTTCTTCTTCAAGAAAATTATTCAGACGAATTTTGTGTGTTTTATTTTATTTTGTTTGAGTGCTGGGCACATATTGAATTGCAGGTTTCGAGACATCATACAAATCATATGAAGTACCAACAATTGTATTAACTTAGGCAACGAACATCAAACAATAAACAGTGTGTTTGCCTTCTGGTAAACTCATAAAACATTTTGAAAATTTAATTGCAATTATATTTATGTCATGAATCTAAATTTTCGTTGATTTTTCAGAAACATGATGAAAGCGAGAAATGAATTGAAATTGTCCGACTCAACTACACAGGCCGAAAAAATATTGTAAATTGTTGGTGGATATGATGTCATATACAAGCTTACATTAAAGATCGTGTAAAGCTATGAGACATATCATGAATTATTTCAAATATAGTATGAAACTATCCATCTTTGAAAGCAACATTGCTTGCAAGTGGCTAGTTTGCGTGAAAATACATACAAGTTACAGGCATTGCATGGATTTACATCACAAGTAATATTCAGATTATATTTCTGTGTGCATTTCAACGATTTTGAAATATGTTTGAGATACTTCAGAGTCTACCAACATGCAACCCATTAGAAACAGGTGCTCAGTCCGATATTAGTGCCATGACCCATTCTTCGATCAAGATTGACCGCATTGAACATGATATCTCAATCTTATCGGATTCGACCGAACAGAAGGGAGGCAGCCGGAGTCGTCTTTTGTACATCGTGCCGTTTGTCGTAATGGCATTACTTAAAATTTGCTCCAACTTTGGCATGTATCAAACATGACATGTAAGATATAAATAGGTGGGGTCAAAAAACTGGAACAATTGTGTATACCAGTAATTTGCAATCGAAAATGGTGGAGTGAGAGAAAATGTTTTGGAAAATGCGTCAAAGTTAGCCTTGAATCCATTAATCAGAACTTGTCACATGTAAACAAACTCGATACACTCTGATACACTGGACTAACATCCAATGCTAACAAAAAAACAATTCAAAATACAAAATAGCTATGATCGAACACTGTATAACCTACGAACACAAGGTCAACTTTGAAAAAATAGAAATAGTTTACCGTAACAATAATAGAAATAGGGCTTAGATCTCATTTTGGGCTTTTAAGCACAACCCGCCCTTTGCCTCTATTTTTGTAGTGCATTATTTTTTTCACAAAATGGAATGTTTTCACTGCAGATGACTTTTAAATTTATTTCCCTTTCCGTGCGTACCGTAAGATTTTCAAAAAAAAATAATTAAACAAATTGTTGAGACATTGTTAAAAATTTAACACTGCTCCTTGACCCCAAACTCGGCCTATGGATTCTAAATCAGGCCCAATCTAATTTAATCTAATCTAATCTAACACCAACACAGCTAGTTCTTGAAAGCATCCTGGAGCATGATATATACCATACCTACATCATTTTTCTAGTCTATTTGATATATGTTTCACATCGAAGATACGTCACACATATCAAAACGGCCAGGCCTACTGTGCAGCATTTAAGGGGCAAGATGATTCAGGAAACATCGGAACAATCGAAGATTTAAACACGATGTTTCAGAATTAAATAAATGGATGAAACGTGGACATCTCGTACCGTGCGTTCCGATTTTGGTAATTATATGATTGGTTGGTCGTTGGAAGCATCAAAGCTAGAAAGGCTAAGTGATGCTCCAAATTCTTCTGACAGTTGGGGCATGAGCACTAACTCTTGTCCTAGCCTTTTATGACTTATGGCTATAGCGCCATTACTCGCTTTCAGAAAAGAAAAGAGGGAAAGGAAAAGTAGAAGGACAAAGGGAAAAGGATTATGCGAAATCTTTGAACAAAAACAATATTTTTGATTTGAAATATACAATATAGAAATGCATAACGGCGCGGTGGTCACTACCCGAGTCTTGTCACTATTATCAAGTCATACAAAGTAACAAGGACTAAAATGTGATCCTTTGATTACTGGAAAATCCTGATTCCCTAGTTTGAAGTTGTCACGACTAGGGTTTGGTGGTGGATCTTATACCAGTAACGCACCACAAAAAGGTGATCTTCCAACGTTACTGGTTTGAAAAGATAAAAAATTTACAAAATGGAACGAGCTCACCAAGTTTAGCCAATTGAACCTGAAGGCTGCCTGCCTTGTGTTGATGTATAAGTCCAAATTGTAGAAGAAGCTTGACGAATTTTAACATGAACTAGTCCGGTTTATGGTAGTTGCGCGGAATGTCTTTCGTCGATTTGAGATAAACAAATGTTGTCGATTTTTGATGTGCATTGGCAAGCCTTTTCGTGGCCAATAGTCAGGTTCAACGCTGTGACTCAACGAATGATGGAACTAATGATGGGACGAATGATGGGACGCCTCGTGCAGGTTCTACTTGGCTTCGGAACAGCGGAAAATAATAGGGACCTAGAATGAGGAACTAGAAATTGTCTCCTGGGCTTGGTTATGGCCATATAAGCAACCGATTATAGATAAAAAAAACGCCACGAATAAAAAAACAAACGTCAGGTTTGGACACACGTACAGCCTACTCCTCCTACGGATTATAAATGCGTTCAAACGCCATTGAATTCTCTTCGGCTTATTGAATGAAGATACAATTTGATTAGGACGGAGCGCTGCTTTTGTTCTTGATAAAAATTGGTCTAAACATTCATATCACGCGTTGTCATTGACTTTGTTAGGCAGCTTTAGACCTTAAGTATCGTATCAAACGTAAAATTGGATTATTAACTCTGAAACAATAGATTTATTTGATGCTTTCTGCTCGATAGGCCCAAAATGAGCGATTAGGCTGAAGTAGTGCAATACCCTACCCTTGCATTCCTTGAAATGTGCCACACATACAATACACCAAATACGGTCAATAGACGGACAGACGTAAACAATCTCAACAGATTACATGCATTTTGTAGCGGAGCGAAATCGCTGAAACATTAAATGATGTTGTGAAAATCGTAAAGAGACTGATGTGCTATCACGGGAGTGGGACATTTCGCCGAAGGACGTTTCGCTGAAGTTGAACTTTTCTCAAAGTTCAGTCAATATTGACATCAGTCTCGAAAAAAGCTTAAGTTCGATTTTTTCAACCTGGCAAGCTATTCAAATGTAATGCTTCCTTCTCATGAATATTAGCAGTTCTTTTGAGTTGTGCAAATTTCAAAAGATTTTAAATAATATATATTTTTTATTTATAGGAATGCTTCCTTCTTTTGAAGATGATCAGTTCTTTTGAGTTTGACTGATTTCGGAAATATTTAAATAATCATGTTTTGCATTTGTAGGTATGTTTTCTTCTTTTATACATATCCAGTTTTTTCATGTTGTGCTGATTTTAAATTTTTTTAAATAATCAATATTTTCAATGTATAGTAATGCTTCCTTCTTGTTTAAAGAGCAGTTCATTCGAGTTGTACTATTTTCGTTATTTTCTAAATAATGAATATTTATAGGAATCATTCCTTCTTTTATATATGACCAGTTCTTTCAAGTTGTGCAGATTTCGTTATTTTCTAAATAATCAAAAGTTATGCTTCTTTCTTTTAAACATGAGCAGTTCTTTTGAAAAGCACTGATTTCGGAATTTTCCAAATTTTAACTTTTTTAGCGTGAATTTATTTCAAAATTGATTATTCTTTGCGTTGTGACGTTTAATCGTCTTTCTCTATATTCAGGATGTCTCCTCATTTTTCTGGATAAAATTACCTTAGTTTTGCAAGTAAGCAAGCCCAAGATTTAAAACTATTCAATGTCTTGAAGTTTCGTATTCCATGTACACGTTCAAGATATTGAAAATATTCAAAGTGCCAGAATTAAGTAAAAAAATTTATGATTTATTTCAAGTTCGTCATTAACTTTATGAAAGACTGGAGATCTTCAATGCAGTTCCATTAACTTTACAACAATTATAGGAACTTTGGAGAAGTTCTGAGGAATGAAAGGGATTGCTGAGAATTTCAGTGAAGTTCTATAAAAAAAAACTGCAGGAACATAAGGGAAGTTAACACGCTGAAAATATGGGAAACTTACTGGAAGCTGAAAGAACCTCAAAGCGGTTATTTTAGCATCCGAGACTTTTCAGGAACTTTTATGAAGTTCCTAAAATTTCAGAGAACTTCACAGGTGCCAAGCGAACTTGAGAAATTTAGAAAAC